GTTACTGTGCTGGCTGCTCCGTTTAAACGGACTGTGTTGAATTCAGTGTTAGTTTAGCTGTTAGACGGATGCTGCTGAGACAGGACCTTTCATTTGAACTCCATCACGCTAGCTTTTGGAGGCTCACTCCAAATCCTGCTCGCATCATTCAGACATCACACATCCTCTCACTCTGTCTCTGTGTCTCTCACACACACACACACACACACTCACACTCACACACAGCTGGATACAGTAGCCTTTTGCTAGCTAGCTAGCCAAACGCATTAAAATGGTGCTTTAGCAATTTAATATCGAGAAAGCTTGGCACGGCGCAGTGGTTTATTTTCCCGGTAAATACGATACAACCGAGAGCCGCCGCGGCTTGTAAACTTGATGAAATGCGGCGGTTATTGATGTTTCCACCGGCTGGGAGGCTAGCCAGTGGAGCTAGCTGTAGCGGGACAGATAAGGAGCCAGCCGGCCGATGACAGGCACACTGCACAACTGCACAGTGGCCATAAAAGTCAACGGACAAACCGATATTAACCTGGCTTTTTCTGCCTTATATTTACACAGATGTGTGTACATGGCGGTTTGCAGCACTGTAATGTTCCCGTCCCACCCCACTGACCTGCCAGAGAATCTTAATACAATGTCAATTTAATGTGTTGAGCTGGTGCATTCAAAGACCGCTGCTGCTAGGCGGGTGGGCAGCTACATGAATCTGGGAGCTGCAGCTGACATGCATACATCCCAGACAGCAAGGTGTCATTGATTCACCGGCAGGGCAACCAGAAAGTACTAGTTTCATAGAAAAACAAATCTTTTTTTTTTTTTCAATGTCATATCAGTGTTCAAACAATGAGCAGTAAGATCACGAAACTGTCGGATTTTGGTTAATTTGATAATAAGTTAATTTGGTCACTTTTCAGTGCATTCAGTCCACTTGAATCAGTGATAAGTGAAAAAGATGAGGAATATTAGATTTGATGTGTTGTGTAGTGTCGATACCTTGAAAATGACTCTCTTAGTTGTCTGGAACTTCTCTATTTTTATTTTTTTATGGGGGGGGTGATATATGTAAAAAGTGGCTTTCTTTGAAGCCAGGACAGCATTGCTGAATTTGACATAGACAACAGGTATCTATTTTCAAAACCTGTTCCATCACACACACCCAGGAGGTAGAGCGTGTTATTTGTTCAGGAATAACCTGTGGGTAACTCTGCAGGCTTATTTGCACTGCAAATAGCCCGTCATGTGTTATTTTATTATTATTTTTATGTTCTTTAAAATGAGTTGATGAATCGATGTAGATGGTGTCTTTACAGACTTGTTGCATCAGCTGTCCCACCTGTTCACACCACTTGTCCTCTGTCCACCTATACGTTATGAGCCATAATTGCAGAGGAGCCCTGTCTTCTTCCTGTAAAATGCAGCACAGGTGTATGAAAGTGTATTCAAAATGTTGTTTGGCCGCTATATCTAATCTCAACAGGCGTTTGGTCAGGCACCGCAGTGTGCCTGATTGTCTATTATTCTACAATTGCAGAAGGTTGCCCCCCATGTCTCCTTCTAAAGTGTGTCCTCTGCTGCACATGAAAGATCGCAAATATTAGGTAAAGAAAAACAAATTCTCCTGTGACTTATTGACATTGCCGCGTACGTTTCAGTGGTGATTACAGAGGCAAACATTACCCTCCCTCACACAATAACAATCCCTTACCTGTGGCTTAAACCTGGACTGTGGAGCAGTTTGATGAATAAAGGTGGACTAAGAAGCTTAAAGGCTAACTCAGGGTGTGCAGGTGTTTTATTATTTTCTTTTTTTGGACCAGATGACGCTCTAAGTGTTATGTCTTTGGGGCGCTCAGTGGTCAGTGCTTTTGATAGAATTATTTGGTTATTTATGTTAATTTGATAATAGCATGGCTGCATGATTAGAACTGTAATGGTAATCCCTATTATTTGCGATTACTATACTGTGACCGTAATTATCACATGCTATTATCCGTTTTAATGGTTTGAGGAACGAAACTGAATGCGCTTTTTGCGTCCTATGATCACCTTTTCATAATTACCATGTTTCCCATACGATGATGCTGAAATTGTATTTCATCCCTGTTATTCTATAATATTCTTCTGAGAATGTGTAGATTTTGTAAGCACTGACTGGCCCAATTTTGAGAGTTTGCCTGGCTAATTTGATACTCATTTAGCTTTAAGAAATTCAATATTTTCCTCCTCCATCTGATTGGTGTAACCCCCCCACACACACACACACACAGTGGGCCTGGTTGCTGTTTTGTTCTAAACTGACTGAAATCACGTTACGTGTCCAGCTTGAAATGCATAGCATGTAAGTGTACTCAGGCGGTGGGGGTGCAATTTAATTTACTGTTCAGAATTGGCTGGATTGAAGGTGTTTTGCAGAATATTTTTTTTTTCAATATCTGTGCATTTAGCCAGACAGAATGAAAAAAACATCTTCGCTTGAGTCACAGAGAGGCTAATAACAAAACTGCCTTTCGACTCTTGGATAGAAAAGACAGCATATAATGGAGAAAGAGAAAAGTAAACACCGCACCACACGCATGCCAAGCCTGGCATTTGTCACGATTGGCAATGTGAAAATGAGTGTGTTGCAGCCATAGATTAGGCTGATGAGGCTATGAACTGTCTAAGGCACACACTGCCCACTGTTATCTTCTGGAATATTTGTATTTCTATGGTGAGCTGCAGTGTAGCTGGATGGTTTGGTCCAAGCGGCAACGAAGTGAGAAAATCTCTTTTTCTCTGTTTATATGTTTTCACAATGGCGTACTTGCCAGCATCATATTGAATTGCTCAAGGTTAGAGGTTTTCTCCAGTGGGACTTGCGTCGGAATGCCTGCCCGTTTACTGTACATCTCCATTGCTTGTTTTTCCTTTACGAAGGCTGGCGTGCTCCCTCGCTCGTTTCCTCTCTTTATTTATTTTGCGCTGCGTCTTTTAATAATTATGAGGGTCTGGTCTTGATTAGCTTGGCTGTCTCCAGCTCTACCCTTTTTTGTTTTGATAGGGCTATCGGGTTTTTATCACAGTGCAGTTTCTTCTCACAACAGCCTTGACAAAGCTGTCAGTCAACCTCCATGGATGTTTTAAGGCCTCACAGAGAGATCTGTGAATGTGGAAGTGCAGACAGATGGGTTGATCAACAGACAGGCAGCCTGGCACACCAGCTGACAGGATGTTGTGGTAGTATGTCGAAAACATGTTGAATCACAGCCCTCGGCATGTCTGTCCTTACTGTTAAAGTCTGACAAACTAAGGCTGTTGTGAAGCTGTTTGTCGATATTGTGATTTACTTTCTGTTTTCCTTGGCAGGGGAGTATCGGGATGTGGTATGTGCTTGCCTCTCTGTGTGGTTCGCCTCAGCTCCTGCCTACTGTATAGCAGGGTTTTAGACCTCAGCCAAATAAGTCCAGATTCAGGCCTCTCTGATTTATGAAATTCTCTCCCCTTCTTACCGTATGTCCTTTTTTGTCTCTGCAGGCCAAGACATGAGCTTCTCCCGCTGAACGTTATTGATGCTGAACTGGTGAGTTTTGTGGTTGCTCACTGCCAGTGGTCACTGCTGCAGTCCACATTTATTTTTCCTATGTTATTTTTATTCAGTTCCTGTTAGGTTTTGTCTACCATCTGGTAGCAATTGATGAAAAGGCTCTATTCCCAGAATTTAGTAAAACCTCTTCAATATTAGTTTCTTCTTTTCAGAGCACCCAGTTCACGATTGCATATTAATAGCTTAGTGTGTGCATAAATGTGTATGAAACATATGGCCTCATCCTGCCTGTAGGCCTACTGGACGAGTTATGTAATCTGCATGTCTCAGTGTGTAATCTAATGTGCTTCTGGATACACAAAAACAAGGGGGAAACCAAAAAGCAACAACCATCAAGAATGCAAGGAATGATAAGGACTAGGATCTAATATTTAGCGCACATATGCACCTGACTCTTATTTTGTTCGTAGTCGAGTTCTCATTAGAGAATACAGATGCTTTTATCTTCCAAGTGTTCAACACTGCAAACCACTTGCATTGAGAGCTGGAACCGACTGACATTTTATTGGATTTGCGCTGAATGATGGAAGCACGAGGCCTAATTTTTCACCGTATCTTTCATACAAGACTGATGTGCAACGTTCGCCGATCCACAGCCAGACATCACTCATTGATAAGCAAGTTGCGTGACTGCTGCTGCTGCTATGTGCTCCCTCATGCTAGGCTGGAAACTGTAATAGGGCTGAGAAGTGATTGCTCTCTATAATATATTCTGTATTAATTATGTAATATGTATTAATGATGTGATGTGTAGCATGATGGCTGTCTGTTGGCTGGGCCTGATTCATTTGTAGATTTTTACAGACGAGAGAGCGATACATTTTCATTTTTGACCGACTTGCAAGAATAGTGACGTGCAGTTATTCCTATATTGAGCAAAGCATCAGCACAATGGCAGAAATAAGCTATATTAGGAGACTTTAAAATCTGAAACTATTTTTTAAATATAAATCACATCATGGGCAGATTTCACATACTGTTTCATCTCTCAATTCATAAATATGTCTGATATATCTGAGATAACCCTGCTGATGTTTGAAATGTCAGAACCCTGTTATTCCCTGGCTACTTGGTATAAACTGTTGATATATTTTGTATGTAATAATATTCAGATGTATGTGCTGAGGGAAGAAAGAGATAATTCAACAGCTCTTTTATTAAAATTGTTATGCTTGTAATTCCTTGAGTGTATCATAAGCTAGTCCCCTTCAGTTTGTTAATACCAAACCTGTGCATGGCTTTTCACATTACCAGATCAATTGGCCAAGTCTTTGATCAGGGGTACCCATCTTGCTGGGAACACTAAAACGTTTTCAAAATCCTCTAGTGATGTTCCAGCCTAGGACCAATTCAGTAGATGAAGAAGCACGCACGGGAACGCTCAATTTTCCATTTTGTCTTATGTGGCTGCATAAGACAAAATGGATGCAAAGATGGTGCAAAGATATGACAGAAGGAAACTAAATTCTCCTCTTTGTGCTCAGTGAGGAATAAAATGGCTCACAATAGACACAGTTCATGTTTCTCAGTTTTGTGGTCAGTTTGTTTCAACATGTATTTGGTACAGCACGGAAAGTGCATTTGCTAATGTTAAGGTATGTTTCTGATAACATATTAACTACCCAGCGTGTAAAAATATTCTAAAAATGTGAATACACAGTGACACAAAGCTCAGTTCACCAGTATCGGATGAATTACATTTGATTGAAATCCCTTTAAGCAATAACAATGCCTATAAGCCTGTTTTCATGTAATCGAGCATTTCTTTAGTAAACTGCCACCTCTAGTGTGTTATGACATGTTGAGCTCAGTGTGCTTTCATATGAAACAGAAGTAATAATAAAGAACATTAGACTCATCCAGTGTTAAATTCAATGGTGCCTCCTCTGATGAAGCACCTCTATTTGATTCTTCCAAACGGTGAAAACTCAGATGCTATTAGTAGCAGCAGCGGTCATACATCAGCAATGTCTCTACTAGCAGCGGCAGAGTCAACATACCTAAATCAATTCCTATTTCAAGTGTTTGCATGGATCCAGCACACTGAAAGGCTGCCCTACCCTCCGCTCCATTTTCAGACCTCGACATTCATTGAAAATATGGATGTGACAGTCACTTGAGGCTGCATCCGGGATGACAAGGTGTCGCTTTCAAAGGAACAGGATCTTTAAATGATTGCAAAAGTAAAAATAAAATGTCCCCTCTGAAATCGTAAAAAGAAACCAGTATCATGTTCATCTAAATGTGCTGAAGCTTGTTTTGTAATACGTAAAGTGAGGGAAGGGAGATGCTCAATCATTGTTTCTGACTGAATATATGTGCAATTCAGTGTTCACGAATATCATTTCTATATAAGGGCTGTATGACTGTGGTTGTGATAAAAGTTGGAATGTGTACGTCTGCTTAAGCCACACAAACTACATAGACTTGATTTAAGCTTCGTTTAGTTTTATAGTCAAAGAACGTCGTCTTCGTAGGATCAGGTATAACTAAAAAGGTTACTCAGGAGGAGCACTTAGAAGAGCATAGAAAACCTTTTAAGATACTACATGAAACACTTTATCATCACGGGTGCTCGGTTCTACTGGTCTGTGACACTGCTAAAAGGCTCAGTAAATCCCATCATCACCCTGTGCTCCCTGCACTGATAAACTCCACTCTATCAGTCTCAGCTTCAAATGCAAGACAGCTCATCAAAACATGGCCTGACTGGTCCAGATGTTGTAGATTAATATGCGAGCACAGGGATTGCTGCTTGAAGAAAGAGAGAGATCAATGATGAGGCGTGTGCGTCTTCAATACAAGGGTAAATGTGGCTGGAGGGTGAATATAATGACAGGGGTATTCTCTGCAGACTCTCAGCCAGCAGCAGAGAGCGAGAGGGAGAGCGGAAAGCAAAGCGGACAGAAAGAGAGGGAGACGCTCTCTCTCACACCAACTGATGGGAGCTGCCGTCATCAAGTCAATATTTACTCTTTCTTAACAAAAAATTGGCAGCATTAGCCTAGCTGATTCAGTAGGAGGCAGCGGGAGCATCCTGGTTTGTGTGAAAGAGGCTTCGAAGAGTAAAAACAACACTTCAGTGATAATAATTGCAGCTCAGCTACACGCGTGGCTCTAAAAATATACTGAAGTTGAAAAGGAGAGCTATTACCCAGCACTCTTTGTTTCTTCCCTCCTTCCATCCCCCCTTCTTCTTTTAAATACACGCTCGCAGTGTGCACATTCACTTTACCCATGGCTCAATCCACTATGGGGATACATGTGAACGCAATTTGCACTTCCAATTAAACTGTCGACCTTCGCTCTAGAATGCAAAACTTGATTCTGTACCTTCCTCTCCTGGATAGTTATTATTACCCAGCCAGCCCAATAATAGAGAGAACAGGGCTTTACAATACACTGACGAGGATCATTGAAGTCAGCAAAATAATTAGTACATTTATCACACTGTCGGTATTTGAGGGTAGAAACCTTTAGAAACCCTTAACTATCGATTGGTTGTATATTGTCTATATATGTAACGATTTATGTGCTTGTGTGACATGAAGAGAGTAAGCTAATCAAAATTGTCCTTTGATCACTAGAGATACCATCTCTGACGCAGAGCAGGTTGTGGTTCTGGGTTTCCTACAACAGTGGCTTCATTAGGCAGAGAAAAAGAGAACATCTGTGCTGGTTGTGGGGTGAGAAAACTGGTTTCTAAAAAGAAAACTGCTGCATTTGTGTGCTTCGTAGGGTATGCGACTTATTCACATTAAGATAAAAAGAGAGAGTGAACAGAGACGCTAAATACACAGCAGAATACATTAGGCTAGAGTTAGCCCAAAGCATGGTGCCGAGCCTCTAATACAGCTCCAACACATGACTCGCTTGCCAGATCAGATGACTAGATAAACAGCAGGAATGTTGCTTCTTCCTCTTTTTCTTTTTTTTTTTTTTTACAGCAGTGCTCTTGTCTGTCTGGGAAAGAGAAGAGGGAGAGAGATAAATGGTATGTGTGTGTGTGCAGCATGTGTACAGCATGTGCCAGAAGAGCATCTTTAATCAGCTCACTACTATACAGGATAACAAGTCCAAGCAATTATGTAATATTTAGCAGCTGGGCTTATCACTTATCCTGCTCCGTTAGGTTGAAATGCAGAATACAGAGCACAGCACCATTGTCTCTATTTTATTATTGACTTGCATAATCTAATGGCTGTGAGGGAATGCCTGGTTTTGTGCAGATATCCCCGTGTGGAAAAGCGTGAAGTATTTAATATTGGCCTAATTGATGTACTTCTTTGTTTTATGTATTAAAAGACAAAGATTTGAATGGTGTTTTTGTAGGGCATTTTTATCTAAACAAATAAATAAATAAATGCTCCCTGAACTGGAGGACTGAGGGAAACAAGCAAATTTATAGTATAAACACACAGCATAACAGACAAACAGCATGGAAAAACTTGAATTTCCGACCAGTGCCAGATATTTGTCAAAGGCTCCCAGCCATATTTCATGAAACACTTCTCGCATGTCATTTAAACAAACCTCAGGGCTTAGCACATGAATCCATTAGATGGCTATCATAACAAACTGTGGAAGTAATGTAAAGTTTAGAAAAGTGCCACAATCAAAGCACATCATAAGAGGAGTGTCATAAATCTTACTTTGGCAAATGCTGGGAGACATTTTTTTTCCTCCCCTAAATGACACAATTATACCACATGAGGACGAATAGGAAATTCTACATATAGTGTATATATCATTATACAGTTTTATCAAGCGGCACTTAATCCAGCCGCTTTATCATACATTGGTCTCCATGCCCCATTAGTGACTCTGGTGTTAGGTGGCCAGTCACCAACAACAATAGCTGTTGTGTGTTTCACAAAGATGTGATTAAACATTTCACAACAAAATGTATCAGATTTGGCTTAAAATTGACTGAATCGTTGTGTTTCTGTAACCCCCGCTGACGGAGATGAGTTATA